TTATAAGGCTGGTAACTTTAATATAGATGGTATTTTTAACCCATTTGGGAGCCTGAGAACACACAGCTTTATCTTCCAATTTCTGATCAGATATAACCAGAAATTTGGAATACTAGTCCTGCGTGGCGCTCTGGTGGTGCAGAGGTTACAGCTGCACTGAAAGCCAAAAGATTGGCAGCTCAAGTCCATCAGCTGCTCTACAGGAGAAAGATGCAGCGAATTGCTTCTGTAACAGTTACGGAAACCCTATGGGGCAGTTTGGCTCTGTTCTCTAAGGGTTGCTATGAATTGGAATCCACTTGATGTCACACAAGACAGTTTCTAAAAGTCTGTACTAGTTTCCAAATAGGAAGGAAAGTTTATTACAATGCAGTTAGAGTTACATGGTAACTTTAATCAAGATGCAAAATGTCATGGAATCCAGACTTTCTGGAACCATTAAGGTTGGATCAACCCTTAACTGTTACCCCAAGATAATCATTAAACCTTAAACCAAAAATATTCCCTGAACTCTTGTCAAAACTAAACAATGTTTTGTTGTTGTTAGGTGCTGTCACGTTAGTTCTGACTCAGTGATCCTTTGTACAACAGAACAAAACACTACATAGTCCTATACCATCCTCACAACCGGTACTCTACTTAAACCTATTGCAGAATGTTTCAGTATTCAATATTCTTGTGTTATCTGACAGTGTCTCACTGCAATTCATAAAGAGTTCAATAGCTAAACTTTCCGAATTAGTCCTTCTCTCCTTCTTCTTAGTCTGTTGTAGTCTGGAAGCACAGCTGAAACCTGTCCATCATGGGTGAGCCTGGTGGTGTTTAAAATATCAGTGTCATGCAAGCCAGCACAATATGACAAACTGACAGACGAGTGGTAGAAACCAAACAGTAGTTTAGTTTTATTAATAAAGAAGAATGTCTGCTTTGGACATTGTGCTCCTCCTCCCCACTCCCTTAGGATTATTTTATGAGAGGGCGAAGACCAATTTGAAAGGACTCTGAGGGACAGCATGATGATTGACCACAGGGAGCATTGTCATGGTAACATCATTTGTTCAAAGAGAATCATCCATGAAAGGGTATCAGGTGCACAGAGCCAGCGGCATTATGCTTTTTAAAAGAACAATCCTTGGAAACCCTATACAGGGTCACTATGAGTAAGAACTGACTCGACAGCACTTAACAACAACAATCTAGATAGGACCAAACTGACAACAGCAACTCTAGTAGTTGGATTGGCAGCTTAGAAGGCAGTAAATTTACGTTAATGGTATAGAAGCAATTTAGAAAAGGAAGGTGAGAATGATTATATAACTTGAAGACTGTAATCAGTTTCACAGAATTGTACATCTAGAAATTGTTCATGTGTATTCTGCTGTGTCTATTCTCAGCAACAGCACTAAAAGATACAAAATGTCAGAACAAGATCTAGACCAGAAATTAATGAATAATCCCATTGCTGACAAGGCTTCCAACTCTTGGTGACCTCAAGTGTCACAGAGTAAAACTAACTACTCCTTAAAGTTCTCTTGGCTGTGATCTTTACAAAATAAGATCACCAGACCATTGTTCCGTGGTGCCACTTGTTGTTAAGTGCTGTCAAGTTGGTCCGATTCATAGCAACCCTATAGAGGGTTACCAAGGAGCAACTGGTGGGTTTGAGCTGCAGACCTTATGATTCATGTTCCTGTGCTCATCCTATAGCGCCACACCAGGAATTCTATGGTGCCACTGGTGGTTTCAAATTGCCAACTAACTGTAGGTTAGTTGTTAACCACAAACTGTTTGTGCCACCTGTTGCTGTAAGTGCCGTTGAGTAGGTTCCAACTCATAGTGACCCTGTATAGGGTTTCCGAGGAGTGACTGGTGGGTTTGAACCACTGACCTTGTGGTTAACAGTCCAGTGCTTATCCTACAGCACCACACCAAGACTTCTTGTGTCACGTTGTTGTTATTGTTAAGTGCCTTCGAGTCGATTCTGACTCATAGCGACCCAGCATAGGGTTTTCCAAGGAGCAGCTGGTGAGCTTGAACCACCAACCTTGCAGTTCAAACAGCTTTGCAGTCTGACGCATTAACCCACAGCGCCACATCCGGACTCCTGCGTCACATAGGGTCTTATAAATTAATGAACACAGCTCAAGTGATAATATAGTGAAAAGGTTACTTCTAAGGGGTTAAATCTTCACCCTAACTTGTTGGTTTTAGCAGTCTTTTCTCATCAGTGGCTGACTTCTCTTTAACCTTTGACTGGAAGTCCAGAATTCAAGTGGTAAGGACTCTGAATTGGTCATATTCTATTATATGCTATACTCTTTTGCATTCTCTAACAACATTCTGTGGTTGACATGTGATCCCATAGGTTCTTGGTGCATTGTAATCTATCATTTTGCTGAACAACAAACTTGAATCCTCTATGCAGAGAGGCTAGATTGAAGCCTTGGCTAATGAAAGATTCCAGCTGAGTGGTCGGAGGGCCCAGGATGGGGCAGATTACTTCTGCTACTCCCCTCTGCTCAGGCATCCTGGAGGGACCAAATCCTGCAACTTAGGTTGGTACTAGGGTAATGGGACCTGGAGGTTGAAGCTGAAGCCTGCAGCCACCTCTTTCTCCACAGCCCAGGATGCTGAGCTCCAAGGAACTCAGCATGTTAGGCTCCAGGTTCTCCACCTCAGATTCTAAGCCCTCCAAGATGAGCAGTGTGTCACTCTTTTCTGTGGGATCCTTCCTGTGCTGCAGGGCTGCAGAAAGTCACACCTTCGTGAACCTGGACCCACAGAGATGCTACTGTGCCTCTAGCTTAGCCTGGGGGCCCCAGGCCTAATCAGGCACCAGCTTGAATGGCAGGACCTTGGGGTCCAGATCACAGTAGTGCACACGTGCAGCAGATCCCAGAGTCCATGCTCCAGGGCTGCCTCCACGTGGTTCTCCTCCTCCTCTTCCTCAAATAATTTTGCATAAAGACCTGGTCTTTGGAACCTATGTCGATAAATGATGAAGGAGTATACTTTCAGTCTTATTCTCCTCATTTTCATTTTGTTTTATTACTTTTCTTGTGGAGTGATTGATCTAGGTCTTTAAACATACCTTTCAGGATAAAAATCCAAACTCCTTTGTTTAGCACAATACATGTACTTCATACTCTGGCTAGCTTGCTGCCCTCACCATTTCCTCAAGATCCCCTTGCAGAGCTAAGTATAATTTCTGAAGTGATTTATACTGTTGCATGTCTCTGTGCCCTGGTAAACACTGTTCCCTCTCTCTCTAAGATGCCTCTGTCTTCTTTTGTTACCTAACTTCTGCTCACCTTCAGCATCCATTTCAAGCATCTCCTGTGTTGGAGCTAATGCTCTTTTCCTCTTCATTCTCCTCACCAACTGGATTTCATGATTTCATGTCCTTTCTCTTGGCTACTACATCATCTTCTGTATGCCTTGGTCATGAGCACTCAGCATGTATCATTCTTTGGGTATTTTAGAAACTTGCTTTTCATTCATTCAGTAAGCCCTGGTGGTACAGTGGATTGAGCAGTGGGCTGCTCATCCCTACTTCCAACCCACCAGCTACTCGGAGAGAAAAAGATGAGACTGTCAGCTCTCATAAAGATTTTGTTGTTGTATTGTTGTATATAGGGTCACTATGAGTCGGAACAGACTTGATGGCGTCCAACAAAAATAACAACAGTGCACTCCAGATAGAGCTGTCATTATTACACAACTATAAAGATGCTTTGGTTCCAACTTGCAGTGAACCTATGCACAATAGAAAGAAACACTGCCTGGTCCTGTGCCAGTCTCAAAATTGTTATGTTGGAGCCCATTGTTGCTGCCAATGTGTCAATCCATTTTGTTCTTTGACAACTTCAATCTTTTCTCCATTTATCATGATGTTATTTGTTGGTCCAGTTGGGAGGATTTTTGTTTTCTTTACATTAAGGTACAACCCACACTAAAGGCTATAATCTTTGACCTTCATCAGTAGGCATTTCAAGTTTTCTTCATTTTCAGGAAAGCTTTGCAGCCTTGGAAACCCTGTGGAGCATTTCTACTCTATCATACAGGGTCATTATGAGTTGGAATCAGCTTGGTGGCAATGGGTTTAGTCATTCATTCATCCATAATACAAGCATTTTCTCAGTATTTTTTTATTGAGTGCCAACATAAACCTAACTCAAGGCATTTATACTAGCTGGAAACACAGGTGCAAACACCTTAATAAATAATCAGTGGTAACCATCACAATGAGATAACTGATGCAATATTAGAACTTTCTATCTTGATCGTGTACAGCATATTCTAAAGTATCTTAAAGGGGAAAGGAATATGAGAGGCGACTTTGTAACTAAATTTATAATTTATAAATTTATAATAGTAAAGATTGTTCTAAATTCAATGCAAAAAATAAAAAGTCTCATACGCTCTTCTGATTATGCCTGCCATCTATAATCCTAGTACGTGTGACATGGTAGAGCTACCCAGCTTGATGCCCTGGTCACACACAACTATGTAATTTAAATTTGTCTGCCAAATGAGCAAATTGCTCTGAAAAATTTTCAAGTACTTGCTATATGAGGATGAAAGGAAAGGAGACAAGAAAGGTAGGGAGACCAGGGGTGTAGTAGAGGATGAACATTTAGAATCAAACAAAAAGAAGGCTCAAAATTACGTGGAAATTGGGGCTGGTCAAATATTGTGTCTGCGGTGGAATGAATGAGTCGTTGCACACTGACCTACAGTGGCTGTCATTAGGGGCATCTTAAATATGTAAGACAGTGAGTACCCAATCTCATCTTGGGCATCCAGCTGCAGGAACATATCCCAGGTCAAGCCCTTGCATTGTAAGTGAGACCATCATCTAAGGATTCCTCTCCACACCCTGATTCCAGAGAAGGGTTCACAGACTTAGTAAAAACGCCAGGCATGTTGCCGTGCTGCCTCTGCAGTGAATGAATGTTCAGCCACTTGCCCTCCTGACCTGCTTTTCTTTGTTTTTATAGAGTGGTGCTCAGCATGGCGGGGATTCCAGGACTCCTCTTCCTCCTCCTCCTCCTCCTTCTCTGTGTGGTAGGACAAGTGCGCCCCTACAGTGTACACTGGAAACCCACTTGGCCTGCTTACCGCCTCCCTGTCGTCTTGCCCCAGTCCACCCTCAACTTATCCAAAGCAGACTTTGGGGCCAAAGCCAAATTGGAAGTGTCCTCCTCATGTGGGCCACAGTGTCATAAGGGAACTCCCCTGCCCACCTATGAAGAGATCAAGCAATACCTGTCTTATGAAACACTCTATGCCAATGGCAGCCGCACAGAGACCCAGGTGGGAATTTACATCCTCAGCAATGGTGGAGGTGGGACCCAGAGCCAAGTCTCAGAATCCTCAGGAAGGTCTCGGAGGAAGCGGCAGATTTACGGCTATGATAGCAGGTTTAGCATTTTTGGGAAGGATTTCCTGCTCAATTACCCTTTCTCAACATCCGTGAAGTTATCAACAGGCTGCACGGGTACCCTGGTGGCAGAAAAGCACGTCCTCACAGCTGCCCACTGCATTCACGATGGGAAAACATATGTGAAAGGAACCCAAAAACTCAGAGTGGGTTTCCTGAAGCCCAGATTTAAAGATGGTGGTCGAGGGACCAATGGCTCCAGCTCAGTCACCCCAGAAAAGATGAAATTTCAGTGGATCCGAGTGAAACGCACCCATGTACCTAAGGGTTGGATCAAGGGCAATGCCAATGACATTGGCATGGATTATGACTATGCCCTCCTGGAACTCAAAAAACCCCACAAGAGAAAGTTCATGAAGATTGGGGTGAGCCCTCCTGCTAAGCAGCTGCCAGGGGGTAGAATCCACTTCTCTGGCTATGATAATGACCGACCAGGGAATCTGGTGTACCGCTTCTGTGACATCAAAGACGAGACCTATGACCTACTCTACCAGCAGTGTGATGCTCAACCGGGAGCCAGTGGATCAGGGGTCTACGTGAGGATGTGGAAGAGACCGCAGCAGAAATGGGAGCGAAAGATTATTGGCATTTTTTCAGGGCACCAGTGGGTGGACATGAATGGTTCCCCACAGGATTTCAACGTGGCTGTTAGGATCACCCCTCTCAAATATGCCCAGATTTGCTATTGGATTAAAGGAAACTACCTGGACTGTAGAGAGGGGTGACACAGTGTTCCTTCTGGCAGCACTTAGTGGTCTTCATGTACTTCTTTTAGGAAAGATCAAATTTTGGCTTTGGAGTGTGCATGTATGTACTACATCACATCATATCTTTTACCTAGTATCTTAAAATTACAAGATGACTGGCTTTATTATTTGAAAACTGGTTTGTATATCATACATCATTTCAGCAGTTTGAAGACATTTTTGCATAGAAATAAAAAGCATATTGATCTTTGGGGAAATGGGGAGCATTTGGTGATTAAGTTAAGCTTTCATATCTTATGAACTTTGATTTTTATCTCATGTGAACATGTGTGAAGAGTTTCTATTAAATATGCGGTATAGAGAAGGTTTCTATTAAATATGCGGTATAGAGGAGGTTTCTATTAAATATGTGGTATAGAGGAGGTTTCTATTAAATATGCGGTATAGAGGAGGTTTCTATTAAATATGCGGTATAGAGGAGGTTTCTATTAAATATGTGGTATACAGAAGGTGTAAATTCGTATGTATATGGGTGTGTGTGTTCTCTTGAGAATCATGTGTTGTTGTTTTTTCTTCCCAGTGCCTGGCTACTAATGCTTCTAAAGAGCAGTGTTCCCATACACTATAACTTTTAGGAAACATTGATACTTCTTGGGGAGACAGGTGGTTAAATCAGGGGGCTTCAAAAAGTTCATGAAAAAAACGAATTGAATGTTAATGTAGTTTTCCCACAACTTGAAGCCCCCTCGTATTTTAGATTTGGGGTATGAATGCAGTAGTTCTTGAATACTAAAATAATTTATTGGCTCTCTTTGTACACATATTAAACTATATCTTACAGTATCTTACCAAGACACCAAGCTGCTTTTCATTTTGAAATTATTTTTCTTCCGCAGACAGTTGCTGTGCTTTGGGGGGAAGCTTTTATCCATGGTTTTGCCAGTTTTATAGTCACTCCCGAGTAGACAAGGAGTGTGGATCCCAATCCTTTCCATTGACCAGATTTTATTCACATTTCTAGAATGGCTTCACCAGAGGCAATAGCCAAGTTTATATATTATATATATATAAAACAGGCTGTATTGCTCCCCAGCCAACAGTTGTAGCCACACTAAAAACAATCACAGTATTTATCCCCGGAGTGTAGCACATCTCATGTTTTATCATTTGGATGGAGTAATTTAAAATGAATTAAATTCCAGAGAACAATGGATGCATTGCTCAGCAGATGTCACAACAGAATAACCACTTGTTTGCAGCCTGGCACAGTTATATAGCCTAATCAAAAATTATTCTGCATAGCTTTCCTTGTACTTTGGGGGAGCTATAAAACCTTTTTTGAAACCTTTTCCCTCTCACTTTACTTTATAGTAAAAGTACTTGGAAGATACTTTAAGAAAAAACATTATGGCTTTTTATTTTACTAGCTTGATAGGGGACTCTTTTGCTGACATACTCTAGGCTGGAAACACATATAACCAAGTACAGTGGAAACTGGGAAAGTGCAAAATGGATCAGTCATGCATTCCAATAAATGCTTTTACTGATCTTATATCAGTATTATAATCACAACATCTAAAGAAAAGACTGACTTATGTTTACAGTTTGACCCTCTGCCTAAACACTTCTTCCCAGGTATTGGTGCATTGGTGTATTGGTGGAGGGGGGAAAAAGTCAGTGAATTCCAAAGTAGGTGTTTGCCCTGCTTGTTCCCTGGGCAACTTCAACCTGTGTTGTGGCTAGTTGTTTACAAGGTCATTCGAGCATAGCATTGATGTATAAACATCTTCCAGGTGGCTTTTTCCTTATGTCTCTGGACCTTTTCTGAATATATAACCACAGTGCTGTCTTCCGATTGCTAAAGAAATGTTAGGCATAGCAAGGAGATTGCATGACCGCCAGGGATCTTCTGAGCTCCAGTATAATTTGCTTTGGAATCTATCCTGAGGAGCAAGAGAGGTCTCTGTGTCTATGACTGGTATTTTGGGGTTTTGTTTGATTTTTACTTTTTCTTGTGCAAAAAGAAGTTCATTGAACACTTAAGAACAAAACTGGTTTTTTAAAACATATTCTTTTACAAAGCACCTTGATTTCTTGCAAAGTTGAATTTTCCTTTAGAAGGATATCCAATGGCACAAAGTAAACAAAACTATCATTGTTCAGTTCACAAGTTGATGTAACTTATTAAAGGGTAGTACCTATATGCTACGTGAGTATAGCATTGTTTATCGAGCCCTAAAGGAAAACTGTAAAGTACTGGACATGTCAATTGTTGTTGTGAAGTGCTGTAGAGTCCATTCCAGACCCATAGCGACCCTGTACAGGGTCTCCAAGGAGCAACTGGTGAGCTTGAACCACCAACCTTGCAGTTCAAACAACTTTGCAGTCTGACACATTAGCCCACAGCGCCACACCAGGACTCCAGACATATCAATTGCTTCTGCAATAATAAAAGAAATCATGGTATGAAATTATTGTGGTAACAGGAATTTTTAATAAAAGAAAAAGTGACTCGAGATAATATAAACATAATTAGTGCCTGCCTAAAAACCAAACCCAAACCCACTGCCTTCAAGGTGAGTCCAACCCATAGCAATCCTATATGGGTTTCTGAGGCTATAAATCACAGGAGCAAAAATCCTCATTTTTCTCCCACTGAGCAACTGGTGGGTTTGAACTGCTGACCTTGTGGTTAATAGTCCAATGTTTATCCATCAGGACCACCAGGACTCCTCTAACATATTAGCATGTATTCATTATACATTGTAAGGATATACGCCTATTGCTAAGTGCTGCCGAGTTGTTCCGATTCATTCTAACTCATACCGATGCTCCATAGGGTTTCTGAGGAGCTGCTGGTGGGTTTGAACTGCTGATCCTGCAGTTACCAGTCCAGTGCTTGTCCTGCAGTGCCACACCAGGACTCCATACTGACGTTTAAAATTTTGCATTTGAATAAACATCTTTGATAGCAGAACTTTTTCCCCCACTCACATAAGCCTATGAGCCATCTACTATTGTAATGAATATGTTTTGAGAATCTTTGTTCCAGATGATGATGCAAAAACGATGAGCCCAAGTAGTGCAGGTGAGGCAGGGCTTCATGGCAGACTTCGCAGAAAGGCTGTGCAGATCCTGTCAGTAAAAATACAGAAAACCAGGCAAAACAGATTCAGAGAATGGTCCCAGAACTCTGAACTTCAGATAAAGTGATAAGTGATTTGAGTGCTTACGGGGAGTAAAATTTGGAATGGAGGCAAGAAATTAGATGACTTATTAGAGTTGCTGGCGTGTTCTGCCACAACCAATTTTAATTGGGAGTGAGTGGATAGAGAGGCAAGAGAACACTCCCAGTGCAGAAACTAGCCCATGATCTGCAGAAACAGAGGTACAAGTGGTTTTTTGGTTTTTTTTCTCCTTTTCACATCTTTTGTTTTGCTCTGTCTACTCATCTCTGCAGTGGTGACCATAGGAGAGACCTGTACGAGTAGATACCCACAAGGAAGGACCTATGTCATGTACACAAGGTTCTGCAACATGCAGAAGTAGTGGCACAGATCTGTACTGTGCAGGGGAGGAGCTGCATGGTACAGAATCTGTGCTGTGGCAGCAACTGCTCCAGGAGTCTCCCTAAGTGGATCTGGCCAGCCCTGGACTAGTTCTAAGAGAAACACCTAAAGGTACTTGAGGGGAGGGAAAAAAAGAAGGCCTATGTTAGATCTCATTGGCATAGTAGGAACATCATGAAATGTCTCAGCTTTGAAGGCAAGAGTCCATTATTGTTGTTAAGTGCCGTTGAGTCGGTTCCAACCCATAGCGACCCTGAACAGGGTTTCTGAGGCTAAAAATCTTTACGGGAGCAGAAAGCCTCATCTTTCTCCCGCAGAACAGCTGGTAATTTCGAACTGCTGACCTTGCGGTTCACAGCCCAATTCGTAACCCTACGCTACCAGAGCTCCTTAAGAATCCATTAGGTAGCACTGAAGAATTACTTATATTTTCCCATGGTTTTTCTTTTTCTTTTTTCATTGTATTTTTGGGGCTGGGGGCTTCCCTCCTTTTTCCTGTTTTTTATATGTATATTTTCCCCCTGGGTTTTTGTGATGTTCAGCCTTCATTTTCAGTCTTGATTTTTGGTCCTCCTTCTATGTTGTGGGAGCGCTTTCTTTTAGTGCCTTACCCAACAAAAGACAGCAACTGCAGCCATACAACCAAGCCATGATTGCACCCTCTAAAACTCCACCAATTGGGCAAGTGCCAATACCAGCTTCTATACACCAGAGTAGCATCTATAACTAACACCTACTAAAAACATTCTAACTTGAGCTGTAAGAGCAGGGAACACAGAAGTCCATCTCCTGATCACACCTACCAGGAGGCAATTGGAGAGTGCTTAAGAATATACCAACATACATTCATATAATTAATACAAATACAACAACACCACAGTGCCTAAAAAGCAGAAGAAAATTTCTGCTCAAGTGCAGAAACAAGACAGAGTAGCACAAACGACCAAGAAGAAGAACAAGGAATTGCAATGGAGGGTGGAGGAGCTTTGAAATTGTCTGAAAAGGAATTTAAGCAAATGATATTGAGGTGCATCCAAACATTTCATAGAAATGTAGAGGAAAATAAGGAAGAAGTCAGAAAAGCACTACAGGAACAATCAAACAAAATAGATATCGCATAGGAAACTATACAAAACCTGCAAAAAGAGGTCCAGATCACCAATACCAAATATCAGAAATAGACAATGCACTGAAAAGGCAAAGGAGTAGAAATTAAGGGGTGGAAGCCAGAATCATTGAGCTTGAAGATAAATCTCTCCAAGCAGTGCATGTGTAAGTGCCTTTGGGCTTGAACCAGAGCCTTGTGACCAGGATTTGGTAAATGTTTGCAACATAAAATGGGAAGAATAAATGTGAATATCTTTTGTTGCTGAGAATACAAAGGTTGTAGCAGAATGTTTTATGCATAAACTTTATTCAAACTTTAACTTTAGAAAGGAGCTAGTCTGAAAAAACAAGGAAAAATAAATAGGAACCTGCTAGAGGCAGAGATAATTTTTTTTTCACTTTTTTTTTTTTTTTTAAATCAGAAAGAGATTTAAAAGCAAAACACTAACTAGTAAGTAAGTGGAACTCAGGATCTGCTCAGCAGGCAGAAGGCCTCCAATGACACCTGGGTCACACATTTAAGGTAGCTATCTGTCCCTAACAACCCATTGAAATGGTCTTTAATTCAGAATTTGTTGTAAATAAGCCCACACTGGAGTTAGCCTCTAGATCCCCTCCTGTTAACTGCAGTGTGACTGACACCACACAGAGTCCCTATGTGGGTCCCTAAATTGGTCATGTTA